CAGGGCGGAGAGCCCCCGGCGGCAGGAGCGCGGCGGGGAGGACTGGCGAGCCCAGTCACGGCCCCGCTCTCGGGCCGGAGCGCCCCACCACGCTGCCCCCCTCCAGGCGCCACCCCAAACACATGCTTGGTGGGCTGGTGCCTGGAGCCAGCCCTGCTCACAGTGTCAGTTGAAAGTTTGGCAGTTGCAGATAGCTATTGTCCAAGTAGAACACTATTGCCGGTTGGCATTGTCTCAAATGGCAGAGCACCTCTTAACTTAAAAGGGCAATGTGTAAAACCATAGAAATCTATTCAGTTAGGGCCAGGTCCACTCCCATTAAAGTCACTCACAGGACTCCCATTGATTTTTACTAAGAGTTGAATTGGGCACTTCAGAGCCATTGACAAGCCCACTCGATTAAAAATGTAACATACTACAACCTAGTGTTAGTTTAATATTCTTCTAGCACTAAATTTTTTTCTTTTAAGCAGGACTTACTCTAGGTTACATGTAGTGTAATTACGTTGTGCCTGCTGCTGGCTTAAAAGAGTAAACTGTGAATAACATTTTTAGCCTAAAAACATCAATGTAAATAAGGCATTCGCTGAACAACATTACCCATGCTGAGAACTGAATGTATGCCACACAGTGTGACACGGAAAGAAAAATGATGAATTGTGCTTGGTTTTAGATGAGGTTGGCCTTCATTCTCTGAAACTCTTATTCCATTTGGTTCTTTGGCCATGGTTTTTATTGCACGTTGTGAGTTGTGGCATAGGTGAGCTAAAGGTTTTTCCAGTTAAATTCTTCATTCAAGTCAGCTTGTCGCCTATAAGTAATTCAAGCAAAACAAACAAAGACCCAAAACAATGACAACCACACAGTGTGCCATAGGCAAAAGTTATTTAGTGTTCTCCAGTTTGTGTTCTTTGTGCATATTTATCAACATGGTCATTACAAAACCACCTGCATAGTTGAGTATAATTGCACAGTTGGCAGTATCTGCAAATCCATGCAGAGAACTGAGGTGCTGTGCCAGAGTTGATGTGGGGAAGCCAAGAGTGATATAGCAGAGGGTATTGAAAGTCAGAATTCAAATGACAGTGACGAAGTTGGGGGTGGGAAGCTTACACAGCTCTCATTTGTATTTTTCCTGGCTCTGCCCAGCATCATCTGTCTCTTACTTTCATGAGTGTTAAAAATAACCCGCAAATTAATAACTTATCCCCAAATAACATTTAGATTTAAACCTACACTGGTCACTCAGACAACTTGTACAGAAAATATCACTTGCCGCACATTTACAGCTTTAAAAAAATTGTCTCTAAGATGTGGTCTTGCTTTTTTGGTCAGCGGATGTCCGGTCCATAACACAGATGAAATGTTTTTGTAAATGATGATTGTTGCTTTTCGTTTAGGCAACATTAAACTCTATTTAAAAAGAATATTAACACGTGATTCAGATGTTAGAGCTTCCAAATTATTAGTACTTGTTTCTCCAAAAGAAATGGTGAGATTTTCAAAGGTGGCTCTTACTTCCATGTTTAGGTGCCAAACAGCTCCCAGGCTGTTACCTCTGGCCTGTTGCTGCGGCCTCTCTCCCTACCCCACACAACTTCCAGCTGTGGTCTAAAAAAGTCCAGAGAGGACAGCAGTTCCCATCGGGCTTCAGTGGAAGTTTGTGTGCTCAGCACTTTTGAAGATCAGGTCACTTATTTAGGTGGCTAAATATGGACTGAAGAGCCCAACTTTATGCACCCATTTTTGAAAATCTTGGCAAATTTGTTTTCACACTCCTCACTAGCAAGGTACATGGACCAGGGAGAAGAAATTTGCAATTCAATTCAGAATGTTTGCTTCAAGCAGCAATCATTAACCACTGAAGTAAATACACACCACCTTATCCCATCACTGCCAGAGCCTTTTCTTGTCAGGCTTTATAATGAGCTGGTCGAATAATTTTCATCCAGTAGTTGTATTTAAAGAATGTCACACTTGGACTACATTATTCATGGCATATTTTTAGAGAGCTGGGTGAATAATTTAAATATATCCATCCAATATATTTATCAAGTATGGCGTTCAACAAATCTATCTTTTTCCCCATTCTTTGCTCAGTTCTTCTGTATCTATGCAGTTCTGTTAACGGAATGATACTACTCTTCCTGCAGAGATCCCTGTGTTGTAGCCAGCTCTTCTTTAAGGGGGCATGGGGCTAGGGTTGCCACCTCAGCGGCACAAAAAGCTGGGACATCCAGGATGATCCTGAGCCCATAAAACTGGACAGCTGGCAGAGTGCACTGAGAGCCCTTAGAGATTGCCCGGGACAACTACCCCAAAAAAGGGATGATCCTGGGAAAATAAGGAATCTGTTATGCACAAGTAAGAATTTGCTAGCAGATGTG